CTGAAGCTTTTGGATTCCCAAAATAGAGAAGAATTTAGAAGGCTACTGTATTTCATGGCTGTTGCAGCACATCCTTCCGAATTTAAATTACAGAAAGAAGTAAGTCTTTTGTCTAAATGTTAACTGTATTCCATATCCTTAATATTTATGAGACCCATCTGTCAGATTATTCCATCCTCAGCATCAAGTATGCTGAAGTGGATAATAGCTATTATTAAATAATACTTCCTTAGTATTAATTTTTTAAATATGTAATTATAGGCTGTGTTTTATTTTTATAGAGTGACAATCGAATGGTTGTGAAAAGGATATTCTCAAAGGCTATTGTTGACAATAAAAATTTGTCCAAAGGCAAAACTGATCTTCTGGTACTCTTTTTAATGGATCACCAAAAAGATGTTTTTAAGGTAAAACTCTGATAGTAATGAAATTGAGCTTATTTGTAATGGATTACTTATGCATAGCTTAAACTACATTTTAATAATATCTTGTTGTCCCTTTTTAAGATTCCTGGAACTCTACATAAAATTGTTAGTGTTAAACTTATGGCCATACAGAAAGGAAGAGATCCAAATAAAGATGCAGGTAATCCAAGAGATGTTATTTTTACAGTCTTCTGGAGACAAATTCTTGGTATTTATTTGAAAGTATTTTGCTGTAAGTAGTTCATTTCAGCTAAATTCTAAACACTCTCCTTAGAGTATGAGAGCTTCTAATGTCAAAAGCAACTTGCCCAGAGTCAGTCGACAGTGTTTATCCTCTTCAGTGCATTTCACAAAATGGGGAAGAAACACATAAATATAAAAATATTGTTTGACTTTTCCAGTTAAATCTGCGGAATAGTCATTAACTGAACTTTTTTTTTTTTTTAAACTTAAGGGTATATTTATTGCCAGAGAATTGATCAAAGTGACTATTCCAGCAGTACACAGAAGACAACCAAAGATGAGCTGTTGAATTTACTAAAAACTATTGATGAAGATTCAAAACTGTCTGCCAAAGAAAAGAAGAAATTGTTAGGTCAATTCTATAAGTGTCATCCAAACATCTTTATTGAGTATTTTGGAGACTGAGTTTCTAATATATGTTATGTATTTTAAGAATAAATTATGTATCTTAAAGATCCAATCACATTTGTAAATTTGATTTCTATATGAAACTGTACTTAATAAATTTTTTTTATAACCTTATGTGTCAAAAACAAGTTATTGGTCAGATGGTGTAGTGCTGTTGAGTTCTGGCATCTCTTAGGTAGTTGGTTTATAGTTATTGTGCCCAGTGCTTTATAGAACACCATAGGGATTTAGATGATATGACAAGTAGTGTTTATATAAGAATGTACTTAAAAGTGAAAAAGTCTGTAATTACAAATTAATAGACTAGTATGACTTGTGTTTTAAATGGTACTCTTTAAAGTTACAAGATAGAAGAAACAGTCTATGATAAAATGTATTTGCTTATTACCAATAAATTGTAGACAAGCAAAAAAAAATCAGACCACCCTAATATTTCTGAAAACGTCATCTATTTTTAAAATATTTTTTTAGACATTGATGGACCTTTATTCATTTATTTATATGTGGTGCTGAACCCAGTGCCTCACACATGCTAGGTAAGTGCTCTACCACTGAGCCACAATCTCAGCCTGAAAACTTTTGAAACTTCTTGTGGGAGATTTCAAACAGGAATGTGGGGAGAGTGGAATAATGAACTTGCCCATGTACCCATCAACCAATATCTACAATTGTCCACTTCTGGCCAATCTTGTTTAATCTATTTCCCCACCCATTTCCCCCAACAGATTTCAGATAGCATCTCACTTCCTCTAAAAAAAGTTTCAGTGACTATGACCAAAAGAACATTAAAAAATAACCACAATGTCATCTTCACTCATACAACTGTATAATTTTTATTATCAAATATGCATTTAATGATCAAATTTCTGATGATCTCAAATGATTTTGACAGTTTGTTCAAAGAGTGAAACAACATCCATAATGTGCTTCTTAAGTTGCTCTTTATTGGTTCTCCCTCCCTCCATCCTTCTTTTCCTTGTCTATCTCTGCTGTCAAATAAACCTGGTCATTTGTCCTTGAGTTTCTCACAGTCTGGATTTTGCCTAGCCTGTCCTTTATCATGTTCCTTTGTGTCCCATATTTCTTATAAATTGGTCACTAGAGCTAAAGTTTTTAACTTTTTAAACAAGTTCATGGTTATTCTGGAGCAACTGTCACAATGTATTTGATTAAAAAAGCGATACAGCACAATTTGAAAAAAATTACAATACAAATTGAAATTGTTCATCCTTATTTTAACCTTTTAGTTTATTATGAGCCAGGATTTTATATTTTAACAGACTTTTAATGAGAGGAAAACAAACAATGAATAGTATTCTGCTATTAAAGTAATGATCTTTCATTTTCTGGTGTAACTGATGCTGGCTAGTCTCCAAAAGGAAAGCTGAGGACTAATATTAATATTCACAATATATAATCTATGATACCAAGTTAATAAAGCAGGGAAAGTCAGGTTTTCTGTATAGGAAGAAGGTGGGGTAGCAGCTTTCTTTACAATTAGGTGAAAGAGAAAGAGTTCATGACTTAAATGTGAGCAAGTTTTCATAACAAGCTGAAACTGGTGAGGCCAACATTGTTGGCACAACAACTGTACTATCTGACTTTCAATCTTTCTTTTGCACATAATTAGCATGATTATTTGGCAACCAAACTAACACCTTCAGGGAAGGCAGAACTAACTGGTTAGTGATATTCATGCTTCTAAAAGAAGCAACATTTTGACAGAATAATTTCATGGAAGACATGATTGAAATGTTTCCCTCAAAACTTCATTAGGATAGAATAAAATTCTAAAAAAAAACTGGATGTTTACTAAGCATATTTAAAGTTTTAAGGCACAGTCTAATGCTACCCTGCATGCCTTAGGCAACCCTCCTGGGTTACTGGAACCATCAGTTACTGTCAGCTGTACGCCCTCATTTATTCATGATGCCTTCCTAGAAACCCATGCCCACGTGTCCACCTGATGCCTAGGTGACTGAGCCTCGCCATCACCTTAGCAGAGCAGACCAGTGCTGAGCACCTCATCCAAGGGCAGCCTCCCTACAAGCTAATGAGACTGTCTGCAAACATCAGCTTGGTCAGTTGTTCCTAAATTGTGGGGGAGACAGAAGCAGAGATGTGATGAAAGATTTTGTGTGTTCCAGGGTGGTGACAGTAGCAACTCACTTCTACAGCGGCTGCCACCTTTCTCCTCCCAATTCCTAGATAGCCTCGCAGTGAACTCCTTTTGCTTTTCAGTAGTTCTTTCCAGTCCTTGCAGCCAGAGAGCCAACTGGAACATGTATCAACGTACTGAAAGGAAATGGTTCAGAATACATCAAAAGATTATAGGTAAATCATTCAAAATGAAATCGGAGTGGTTGCCGAATCGTCAATGTTGCTCCAAGTGAAACTTGCTTATACTAATCCTTCAATGGAGGTAGGGGACACTTGATGGGTGGAGGTGGTTGTAGCTTGGCCACATACAAGAGTTATCCAGGAAACTTGTAATACTTCTTCCCTGGCATCACTCCCCGYAAGTTTTCAGGTGATAGTTTTGGAAGCCTCTTTGCCCCCATAGGCTAAAATGTAGTCAGGATTAAAGAATAACAATGTTTTCTTCGTGACTCTTAACAGTTCCTGAATATTTTAAGATTTGATTTTTTTTTTTCCTCTCCTAAAGTGAACCTTCATCTGAGAACTGTTTTGTTATTTTTTTAAAGGGAAAATAATGTGCTGATTGGTAAGTGGCTTGAGGCCATTGTATTGCACTTAGCCATCAATACTTAATTTTGTTCTAGTTACAACACGTTTGAATACAGAAGATTTTAAGGCATTTATCATTTATGCCCAATTTTAAAGCGTTTTTTTTTTTTTTTAAATAAAAAAAGCAGTCACATGCTACAGTGGCATGTTGGTGCATGCCTGTAATCCCTGTGATTCCGGAGGTTGAGGCATGAAGATGGCAAATTCAAGGCCAGCCTCAATAATTTATGGAGGCTCTTGACAATTTATTGTTTTTTAGTTGTAGTTGGACACAACGCATTTATTTTATTTACTTTTATGTGATGCTGAGGATTGAACCCCAGAACCTCACACTGCTAGTCAAGCGCTCTACCGCTAAGCCACAACCCGAGCCCAACTCTTGACAATTTAGTAAGACTTTGCCTTAAAAAAAAGTCTGGGGATGTAGTGGTAAAGTGCCCCTAGGTTCAATCCCTGTTACCAAATAACTGTCACATGCCTTTTATATTTCAAGATTAAGCACCATAACTATGTTCCTGCAGGTTAATATTTTACTGCTGCAGGCAGAGCTATCTTGGAGCAGCGACTCTTAGCAAGGCAGCTCCACGGTAGTCACAGGCCCACTACTTGGAACCGAGGGAGACGAAGCTCTGAAACGAGTCAACACGATACATCAGGGAAACCACCTTTTCTGGACAAAACCTGAAACGCCCTCAGCGCTCCCCGTGCTTCTGAACGATCTGCCCGGAGCTGAGCCCTCAGGAGACGGTTTGCCCGCTGCCTTCCGTCTCTCCAAGAAGTCTTGTTCCTATGGACAACGTGCAGCAGCAGCCCCTGAAGTACCGACTCAAAAATCCAACCGGGTCGGAGACTGCTGTCTAGGTAGTGAGCGTGGTTTTTCAGTAGCCAAAATGAGGGAAGGGGAATAAACTTAATTTAGTTACAAATATGTAATATTTAAGTTTGAAAATCCGGGCGGAGGTTTTAAATGCTATTGGCTCTAAGGATTTTTTTCCATCCATTAACTGACTTCATGCCACCTCCTCAGTCTCCTCTCGAGGCGCCCCCTCGCCTGGCACCCGGCCGCGCCTCCGCCTTTCCGTATGGAAACATGGCGCCTCCCTGCGTGGAGCGGGAGCTTCCCGGCTCCGAGCACCGCCCACTGGAACCCCTTGGCCGGCAACCGGCCCGCCTCCCCGTGCGGAAATATGGCGCCTACCGGCGCCGAGCCACTTTGGCCAGCAGGAGACCTAAAATCACTCGACTCTCCGTACAAAAACATGGCGCCGCCCTGCGTCGAGCAAGCGTCTCTCGGCTAAAGGCAACCTCCCCCTTCCACACGCTGAGGTGCGGCTACTCTGGCCGCTGCCCACCCGAGCCGGACAGGAAGGACCGCTCGCGGCGCGGAGAGGGATGCGGCCTCGAAGAGGTAGAGGCTGAACCGCCCCTGCCCGCCGCGCATCGCTCCCGCCTCCTCCGCGGCGCCCGCCTCGCCTGATTCGCAGCGGGAGCGGCAGGAGGGAGAACACCGACTCCGCGGCAGGTGAGGGGCGCGGGCGCGGAGGCTGGCGGGGCCCTCACAGGAGGCGCGAGGTCGAAAGCACAGCATTTCTTCGCCTTCTCTCGTCGGGTCGGGGCCCGGTGATGGGTTGAGGCGAGGAGGAGGCAGGGGCCGCGGGCCGGTTGAGGCCCACCCTCGAGGCCGCCCGCCGGCGCGTCCCGCTCCGCTCTGGTCGCTGGCTCCAGGCCCGCCACTCCCTCGCCGACCCAGACAGCWGTTTACAACGGAATCCGGACGCGGGGAGAGAGTGGCGCTGAGCACCGGAGGCAGCGACCCCCGGCTCCCCTGGAGAGCCCCTCTTTTACGGTTTCTGCCGGGGCGGGGGGCCCTGAAGTCCGGCCGAGGCCCGCGTGCAGCTCCGACAGATGCTGTTCTTCGCGGCCGCTGCGTGGATCCTTCCACCCCCGGTTTCCTTTTTAGGCACAGTCGAGGCTGAGGATCGTTGAATGAATGAGCGCCCTCAGAGCGCCCGAGTGGCTCCTGGCGGCACCCTGTAGCCCTTTAATTGTGGTTAGCGTTTGTGTAAAGCTCGTGTGCCCATCTGCTGGGCACAGTCCCCGTCTAATCGTCCCCCCAATCCTAGGAGGTAAGTAGCTCGGCTTTCCAGGGAGGAAACCCGAGCCACACCGCTAGTAAAGAGCCAGGATCGGAGCCCAGGTACGTCTGAGACCCACACCCAGCCCTCCCAGATAGACTGACTGACAGCGATGACACAGGGATTCGTTTCTATCCATACCTCGCGGGTTATCTGTTTGGGGGATGTAAGGATGCAACAAATGTGGAATAGGGGGTTCTGCCTCTAAGTTCAAAATCTAGGTGAAGAGATTTTTCGTTTGTTAATAAAAACGATCACTTTTTACCATATGGCCCCAACCCATCTTTCGTCTTCACATTTTTTTTTCTTTTTCTTTCTTTTTTTTGGTATGGGGATTGAACTCAGGGGAAGTCAATTACTGAGCCATATCCCCAGGCCTATTTTGTATTGTATTTAGAGACAGGGTCTCACTGAGTTGCTTAGTGCCTCACTTTTTGCTGAAGCTGGCTTTGAACTCACGATCCTCCTGCCTCAGCCTCCCGAGCCGCTGGCCCCTGCTACTTTTCTTGTTTTCATGTGCGTTGGCTTCTCTCCGAGTCAAATGCCCCTCTTTTACCTCTTCTGTCTCCAGACATTTTATAACCGAAAGACATTCTACTTAAAAAAAWTTTTTTTTGTAGTTATAGATGGACAGAATGCCTTTATTTTATTTGTTTATTTTTATGTGGTGCTGAGGATGGAACCCAGTGCCTCCTTCTGAGCTACAGCCCCAGCCCCGTGAAATTCTACTTTCAAACATTAGTTCAAATGTCCTCTCTTCTGAGAAGGAACTAGTTTCTCCCTTTGCTTTTCATAACAGCAATTTTCATGATGCCACCAAGGCTTGAGTTTCATGATCATCCTCTGTAAGCAGTTCTGTCTCCTTCTCTAATTTGTGAGTTTTCATCCCTTTATTCGTATTTACTTATTTATTTATTTATTTTTCCTTTATTCCTATTTAAATAAGCATATTTTGAATCGAATTTAAGGTAGCAATGACTRTCTGATGTCTAGCAACCAGCCCTGTGGGAATTTCTGGGAACTGTGCAAACACTGTCCTGAGAAGAGCGCCCTGATGCATCTTAAAAGGTGGGTGGGGTTAGTTTACTGAGCATCAAAGGCCTAGGAATCTTGTTTTCGCTTTTCACTGCACAGGATGAATTACTTCATCTTTTCTGGGCTCCTTCTCATCATGTGAAGAGGATAAAATTAGAAATGTTTTGTCCTGTCTCATACAATATGGTGGTAATATCATCCTTTGGATCTTGGAGCATTTCCAGACCCTAATAGGATTTAGCACAGTGAGGAAATGGATATTGGAAAGTAAAGTTGGATTGCAAACGGGAAAATACATTTTTTTAAAACATGCATATTAATATTATGGTCCTGAAATTTTCAATTCCAGTAACATCATCCTGTTTAATGGAGGTCTCTGAAGTTTCAGATAATTATATCAAACGATTGTTCTCTCTAATGTGCAGAAGAGAGTCTGCCAAACCTCCCTAAAGCAGTTCACATTTCTTTTGATCGTTGATTACCTTCCAGGTGTATAATACAGTCTAATTAGTGTTTCTGACAATGTTTTGTGATCTTTAAGTGCTAATGTACAAATGTTAATTATTTTCAGAATTGTAAATGCAGAAAACATTTTGTCTTCTCCCTTAATTAGAAACACCCTAGGAATAGAGGAAAGGGGCTGGGGACTTAGATGCAATTAGAGGAGGCCTTTATTAACTGGCTCAAACCAACGTGTCAAGTGATATTCTTATTCTAATCAGCAACTAATAAAATGAAAACCCACCCAACCACATACTTTCATGATTGTTTGCAACTTCCTTCTTTACTTATGATCTTTTTCTGTTGACTGGCAATGCATGAATAAAAATATTTGCTCCATACCTTTCCCTTAAACACTTCATAAGAGTCAACTGTACCTTTGAAGTCCCCAGGTATTTTTATCCACATGATGGGATTAGGGAACCAACTTCTCATTCCAGCATATTCACTCTCAAACCTGATTATAAGCATTGTTTCCAAGTAGTCTTTCTTTCAGCTTACAGGATGAAGTAAAGAATTTAAGACTGAATTATTCCCTTTGATTAAAACAGAAGCAGGCGATTTCTAATGTTGTCTTCTATTAGTTTAAGGTACTGCATTTTTGTGATGTTAGAAGTGGGACAAGAACATTTCAACCTATTACTCTGYGAGGTCCATAAATTTGATAAATTTTATCGACCTCACAGAGTAATTGAATCTGTTTAATTATTGAAGTAGAATATTGTAGTTGGATAAGATCTTAGCAGGTCTGTTTTTTTTACAGACCAGAAAACAAACCAAAAAAATTAAGTGTGCCCAGAGTCACACTGGTAGTAACAGAGCTAGAATAATGACTCTTTTTTTTTTTTTGACTCTTTTTTTTTTCTTTCCTAGGAAAGTAAATAAACTTAATTGAGAATGTCTGAAAACCTTGACAAGTCTCATATAAATGAAGCAGGAAAATCAAAATCAAATGAATCTGAGAAAAGCCTGGGAGGTKCTGTGGAATGTTCTGATGAAGCTTTACAGAAAAAAATAAAGTCGGATGCTTCTAACCCCCAAAGAGTACAAAGACCTCACTGTAAGCAAATTTGACTTTGACTAGAAGAAGCAATACTATCATTGTTTTCAAATGGTATTTTTATTAGGCTTTCTTGTGTATGTGGTCCTGAGCAAAAGTTCTTCTAGTAATATGATAACATTAACTACCACTTAAGAGTAGCYGTATTTTCCCAGCTGGCAGTCTAGTTGCTTATGGGTTTTCAGTTGCATGAGAAATTAAAAATTTTAGAATAATTTCCCAAATGTTTCTGTCTTTGTCTAACCCCAGGGCATTCTGATTTCTCTGAAGTCTCTGAGAAACAGAAGGGTGGAGTGTAAATTACAATTTTCATTAAAGAAGTGTTTCAAAAGTCTGAGGCTGATTCCAATCAGGACTGTACTTGTACAGGTTTTTTTAAAAAATGTGAGTTCACCACACCCTAAATTCACTCCCTGGGGGTTTAGTTCCCATGAGGTTAAGGGAACTCAGTCTGCTGAGTCAGTGTGAAGTCATTTCAGGTCCCTGGCAGGGAGCAAGCTTCATACATGAAGGGTGGCAATGGCTGTGTGTATTGCCAACAGCTGCCCCAACTCATGTCTTTTATTAAGAATATATAAGCTTTAGAAGTGAGTCCAAAAATGAAAGTTTTTTTTTTTT